CATTTAAACCTACAAAAGGCAAAAAATGGCGATAGAGCCTCTCATAGAGGAGAGCTCTGACAACTGGCAGAGTGCTAGATGCTTCGAAATAAAGTCCCTGCACTACAGAAATGAGGTGATTTGCAGAACCAAGAGGCTCAGAGGGGGAAGATACTTGCTACTGTAGAAGGGAGTGGAGCTGGGCCAGATCTCAGCAGTTATTTAAGAGCTCGAGAACTGGAGTAGTGGGATCTCCAGATTCCTCTCTGTTGCCTGGACAGTGGGGCATCTACCTGTCCCTGCTCCTCTCCCCTCCCCAACAGCAGCTGAAAAGTCTGTTCTCTGGTGAAAAGGAACTGGAATAGTGTTGGAGGGGGTGTAGGTGATCGAAAAGAGGTAGGTGATGACAGCCGGGACCTCCTGTCACCCTTCTCTTACCCTGTCCCATAATGCTAGCGGCCAGACACGTGCAGCCCCAACCATGGACTGGAGGATTCTTTTCTTGAGAAACTGAACAAGTTTAGGAAAAATTGCCCCCAGATACTAAAATTTGTGAATTCTTCACTGAAAAGTTTTTTTCCCATATTAATTGATATCTAATAGAGAGGCCCCAGTTCACTTTAGTGCTTCATTCACTCTTAAATAGCACCAGGCAGTCACAGCTCACCAGCAGTATTTGCAAAAACTTCAGTGTGAAATGCTGGGACCAAAACAAACAGGTAAAGAGAAATATTGCAGAAGGTGGAGGTGTTGCAGAAAGCAGAGATATGTTTTTTGGAAAAAAGTTATAATTATCCTGAGAGAGAGAGAGAGAGAGAGAGACAGAGACAGAAACTTATTCATACTTAGAATAGCATCTATGAAAAAGAATCAATTAGAGAACAAGAAAGAGTTATTGGAAATTACAAATTAAATGCTTAAATTAAAACAATGTTGAGGATGTATTTCTCAAACTAGAACAAAAAAATGGAATTAAAAAATAGAAGAAGAAATACTAAAAGTTGGAATTTGGTCTATAAAATTTAGTATTACTATTATAGTAGATGCAAACCAAAACAGCAAAATAAAATTCCTGCCAACATTATCACAGAAAGAATACAAGAGCATTTCATGGCACTAAAGACAGGAATTTATAAATCAAAAGAATCTATTAAGTACTTGTGTTTTATAAAGTGACTAACATTATAAAACCCTCATCTAGGTATGTCATTGTGAAATTTCAGAACATGAGGAATCAAGAAAAAGTCCTAAAAGCTTTCAGAGAAAAATACAAAGGTCATACATAAAGGCAAGGTTATCAAGTTAGCATCAGTATTCTTTCTTTCTTTTTAAAAAAAGAATTATTCATTTATTTTTATTTATTCATTCATTTATTTATTTTCATTTGACCAGAGAAAGACAGACACACAGAGAGATGGAAAGTGCCCCCATAGGGGGATGACCACACCCACAATCCCTTCTCCTCCACGAGTGTCCAGCGCCTTAACTACCACACCACCTGCTGGCCCAGCATCAGTATTCTGAACAGTCTCTAGAAACTGGAAGATAATGGAGCAAAACTTTAAAAAAGTATGAAGGAAATGCTTTCCCACCTAGATTCTAAATCCAGTTAGACTATTAATCAGAAGTAAACAGAATAAAGATATCTTTCAAATATAAATATACAAAAATTCACTCCCTTGGACCTGTTCTTAGAAAGTTGCTGAAAATCACATTAGATGTGTTTGCCTGCATGCCCCAAATCTTGAGAGGAGAATGGATGTGAAGGGATGTGTCATGGCCATTTCCCCACTGAGGTGAATTCTTACTTTCTTTCTCTCTGTCTTTCTCCAGCGAGTGCAAGCACCATATGGCAAAAACCTAAAATAAAATGAAATAAAATAAAATAAAATAAAAATGGAGACTATATCTAGCACCCCTGAAGCACTGTAAAAATTATCCATATATTTGCCCTCAAAGAAAACCTCAGTATGTTCAAAAAGGAAGAAGATAGTAGAGGACTTCATCTGCTGGCCATAATGTTAGGTATGAGTAGAAATGAACAATATTTAGAAATAAAAACCTCTGAGCCAAAACAACTTAACTATAACTACTGAATATAGAAAAACTTTCTCAAAAACAGCTCTTGTGTCAAAGAAAAATGAAAACCACAAATGGAAACTATTTAGAAAACAGCAATAGAAGCATAACTGTGATAGAAAACTGTTGGTTGCCTTCCTGATGTTCCTTCTCTCTTTTCACTAACAGAACATTGGTTTTGTTGAAAGTGTCACTGGTCATCTAAGAAATCTTATTTCCCAGCCTTCCTTGCTGCTGGGAGAGACCATGTGATTAAGTTCTCACCAATCAGATGTAAGGGATTATTCATGGATGGGACCTCATGGAAGGTCAACTCATCTGGCCTAACCTCTTGTCGTATATGATGTTAGATCAACCATCTTACAATCTTAGGTGTCTAATACATACAAAAGATAGATGAGTGGTAAGAGGAAAGAGTTGCTTCTCATAGATAACTTGGAATCCATTCCAGTCCTGGACTTCCTATCTCTGAGACAGAAAAATCCTAACAACAAATCTTAAGCTGCTGTTTTGCATCTCTTTGTTAGCAGGAGTTGACATAATTCTTAACTGACATAGTTACATATTACCATTTATATAATTAAAGAATGGAAATTAACAAATGAAATGTCTGAGTAAGTTTAGAAATAGAACAACTAAATGAAATGAAGGAAGGCAGAAGACAGCAATAAAAATCAAAATAGAGTTCGGTAAATTAGAAAATAAGAAATGGGTTGATAAACTTGAGAGCAACTTTCTTTAGGAAAATAACAATTAAAAAATTATACACACACACGCACACACACACACACACACACGCACACATATCTCCAATCTATAGCCTAGTGATTAAGGGGGCTGTGATTTGAATACTGGCTCTGGTGGCTAGAAAAATGTGCCAGGCACATGTGCATGTGTGCCCCAAATCCCAGCAGGACAGAGAAATGGATATGGGATGGATATGGGATGGAGGTATGACGGGCCCCATTGGGTGATGCTTTCTCTCTCCCTCTGTCTCCTTCTAGTGAGTGCACGAGCCTTCGGACAATTTAAACATAAAGAAATAGAAAATACCAACAACAATGCGTCAGGACTTTTCCAATGACTCAATAGATACAAAGGAAATGAAATGAGTTATACTTAATGAAACTGAGTAATAAATTTAAAAATGTAAATCAAATATATTTTTCTTAGAAAATATGCTACTAGATTAACTCCAGAATAGAAAGAAAACGCAGAGAGGCCCCTGACAGTGAAAGAAAGGAGACAGCTGTTATCTATGGCCAGTCTTTACTCTTCCTGGTCTCCTTTACTCTTGTAGTTTTTCAGAGTGATAGAAGTGAATTTCAGGGAGGAGCAGAGGATTGGGGGTGGGATGGGCCTGCTGTGTGGGGAGCTGTCTGCAGTTATCTGACAAGGGTGGCCACACACCAGAGAGGTGAAAGCAATGACATTTTTTTTAAATAAAAAGAATGATTTAACTTTGTTATTCTTATTGTTATTATTTTAATTTGACCAGAGAGAGACAGAGAAAGAGAGAAAGGGAAAGTGAGAAAGCAAGCCACCAGGTCTGGGACTCAAACCATGATCAACCACGTGGGAGTCCACCATGCCACCTGCTGGTCTTGGAAGCAATGAGTTTTAGCATCAGTGCCCACCACAAAATAAAGAACCTTATGTCTTCCTTTTTTATTTTTTTAAGAGAGTTTTTTTGCTATAGGGCGTGTGTGCTTTCGAGAAAGACAGAGACAGACAGACAGAATGCGAGATATCAACCCCAGGGATGATGAGCACACTGCAATCGCTTCTCCTCTGCTATCCTCTCGGGATTTTCGGCACACATGCACATTTGCCTGGCATGAATTAAGCCGCCGTCCGATGCTTGAACCGTGGTCAACTACATGGGAGTCCTGCGATGTAACCATTACGCCATCTGCTGGTCCCGAGTCTTCATTTTTTATAACATTTTCCGGATCAATATATTATTTGAGCTTTTCTGGTAGGAAAATAATTGTAATAATTTTTACTCAATTTGATAAACAACTGATTCCTTACAGTAAAAATGTTTAAAATATTATGGCCAAATACAGTGTCTGAGATTTCAAAGCAGCATCGGGCATTAAAAAGGCTAAAAGTGTTTTGAGAAGAAAATTAGCAGTATAGGGGAAAAAAAAATGAGCAACTCCTTAGCTCTTAATCATTTTCCTGGAAAAGTACCTTGTTCTCAAATGCTAGTAACTGTAACATCTTATTGGTTAAAAATAAATAGTACTAAGTGTGAGGAAACCAACTAAGGGGGAAAAAGCAAGCAGGATAAATAATCCATAGCTGAACACAGAATAATGAAGTTATGCCAGTGGCATCAGGTCATTACACCAGCTGCCTACCCTCAGGCCAGGGTTCAAGCCCAGTATTGACAAAACACAATGGTCACGTGGATGCAGGGCATCCAGAAAGTGCTGTTTGCATAGGTCAGAGAAGCCTGCAGGTCAGCATTTGGTTCCGAAGTACCTTTGCTGTTCTGTGTCTTGTTTACTTTAAACTTTGACCTTTCTCCTGTGTAATTATTCCATTCTTCATTTAAACGGATGTAATTTTAACTTAATGTCCTCCTTTTACTTCACCTTTCCCCTGGCAGCTGGAACGGTAAACCATGGAGCTGTATTTCGGTGAATATCAACA